ATTAAAATAAAAAAAAATAATTTTGAAATGCCAAATAATAACATTTTTTGTTGTGCATGTTGTAGAACGTGCCGAATCCATTTGTTTGATACCCCACAAGCCTATGTTCCTCATACGTTTAAGGGTAGTTTTGCACGTGTTTAAGTTTTGCGATGTTCATGTTCAACTTTTTTGTTTGTTCTCTAAACATAGCGTTGTTGGTACTCATTTTACGTGATTTTTTGCGTAGATTACGATTTTTACAAGTATTTTTTTTTACCATTTTTTTTTGCATATTTTGGCAATTTTTTGCCTATTTTTTAGTTGGGTTTGCTCATATTTTAGTTGGGTTTTTTGCTCAATGGGGCCGGGGGGGGCCCAATGGGGCGGGGTCGGTCGGGTTGTGTTGTTGAGTTTGGGTTGATTTGGGTTGTTTTCGCTCATTTTTTGCGGCATTTTTACAATTTTTGCATTTTTTTACAATTTTTTTTGTCTTTTTTTGAATTTTTGACAAGTTTTTTTTGCATTTTTTCATTTTTGGCCATTTTGTTGTTGATTTTTGCTAATTTCGGTGTATTTTTGTTGGGTTTGCTCATATTTTAGTTGGGTTTGCTCATATTTTAGTTGGGTTTTTTGCTCAATGGGGCGGGGGGGGGGGCCAATGGGGCGGGGTCGGTCGGGTTGTGTTGTTGAGTTTGGGTTGATTTGGGTTGGGAAATAGGTTTGGTTGGTACAGGGGCGACGTCTAAAAAGTATGTAACTAGGGTATTTCGAGGACGGAGAATCGATTTTTGTGGTCGAGGGGGTCCCATCCCCCCCGCAAGACCCCCTTTACTGATGAATTTTTTTCGTTTTTTGGCCATAACTTCCTTATATTCCTGGATACCGGCTTTTTTTTATGTTTTCTTTCTTACTAGTTTTTTACGCCCTTCAATTATATCCAAAAAAAAATTTTTGGGCATTTCGCCAGGGGGGGGGGTCATTTTTTTTTTTCTGGATACCGGGTTTTTTTTATCATGCCATCGGATAGTCCTTTCGAAAAGGATCAAAAAGTTTCATATGGACTTACCCTCTCCAATTCGCCATGCACCCTGTATATAAAATTTTATGAGGGGGTTGGGTTGCGATTTTTTTCTAAGTTTTTGTTTTTTCTTTGAAATTTTCAAAATTTTTTTTTGCTTTTTTGGACGTTTCAGGACATTTTAAGAGGGGGTTGGGTTGCGATTTTTTTTTTTTTTTTGAATTTTTTCAAGTTTTTTTTTAGAAGTTTTTTTTACGTTTTTATCATTTATCTTAAACGTTATTTATTTATATTTTATCTTTTTTGGAATTTTTTCAAGTTTTTTGTACAATTTTTGCATTTTTTAAAAAAAATTTTAATTTTTTTTGGAATTTTTTTACAACTTTTTGCATTGCTGTTATACGAGTATAGTTTGTACTCGTACTGTTTTTTTTTTCTTTTATGTAATGTTTTTTTATAGCAAAATTGCCAAATAAAGATTTATTATTATTATTATTATATTATTAATTTTTGCATTTTCGTGCATTTTTTGACATTTTGTTGATTTTTGCTTATTTTGGCGATTTTTGCTATTTTTTTTTATTTTTGTTCATTTCGGGGATTTTTGAACTTAAAAATTTTTTGAAATTTTTTTTTTTTTTTTTGCATTTTTGGAAAGTTTAGGACATTTCCTGCAAGGGTTTGGGGTTTTTTTTTTTTTTTGGATTTTTTTTGTCCCTTTAAAATTTTATGTTGCATTTTGTTGATTTTTCGTTTTTTGGCCATAACTTCCTTATAATCCAGGATGCCCCCTTTTTTTATGTGTTCAATCTTCCTATTTTTTAACGCCCTTCAATTATTTAAAAAAAAAAAAATTTTACATTTCGCCCCCCGGGGGGTCATTTTTTTTTTCCTGGATACCGGGTTTTTTTATCATGCCATCGGATAGTCCTTTCGATATGGTTGGGTTGGGAAATAGGTTTGGTTGGTACAGGGGCGAACGTCTAAAAAGTATGTAACTAGGGTATTTCGAGGACGGAGAATCGATTTTTGTGGTCGAGGGGGTCCCATCCCCCCCGCAAGACCCCCTTTACTGATGAATTTTTTTCGTTTTTTGGCCATAACTTCCTTATATTCCTGGATACCGGCTTTTTTTATGTTTTCTTTCTTACTAGTTTTTTACGCCCTTCAATTATATCCAAAAAAAATTTTTGGGCATTTCGCCAGGGGGGGGGTCATTTTTTTTTTTCTGGATACCGGGTTTTTTTATCATGCCATCGGATAGTCCTTTCGAAAAGGATCAAAAAGTTTCATATGGACTTACCCTCTCCAATTCGCCATGCACCCTGTATATAAAATTTTATGAGGGGGTTGGGTTGCGATTTTTTTCTAAGTTTTTGTTTTTTCTTTGAAATTTTCAAAATTTTTTTTGCTTTTTGGACGTTTCAGGACATTTTAAGAGGGGGGTTGGGTTGCGATTTTTTTTTTTTTTTTTGAATTTTTTCAAGTTTTTTTTTAGAAGTTTTTTTACGTTTTTATCATTTATCTTAAACGTTATTTATTTATATTTTATCTTTTTTGGAATTTTTTCAAGTTTTTTGTACAATTTTTGCATTTTTTAAAAAAAATTTTAATTTTTTTTTGGAATTTTTTTACAACTTTTTGCATTGCTGTTATACGAGTATAGTTTGTACTCGTACTGTTTTTTTTTCTTTTATGTAATGTTTTTTTATAGCAAAATTGCCAAATAAAGATTTATTATTATTATTATTATATTATTAATTTTTGCATTTTCGTGCATTTTTGACATTTTGTTGATTTTTGCTTATTTTGGCGATTTTTGCTATTTTTTTTTATTTTTGTTCATTTCGGGGATTTTTGAACTTAAAAATTTTTTGAAATTTTTTTTTTTTTTTTTGCATTTTTGGAAAGTTTAGGACATTTCCTGCAAGGGTTTGGGGTTTTTTTTTTTTTGGATTTTTTTTGTCCCTTTAAAATTTTATGTTGCATTTTGTTGATTTTTCGTTTTTTGGCCATAACTTCCTTATAATCCAGGATGCCCCCCTTTTTTTATGTGTTCAATCTTCCTATTTTTTAACGCCCTTCAATTATTTAAAAAAAAAAAAATTTTACATTTCGCCCCCCCGGGGGGGTCATTTTTTTTTTCCTGGATACCGGGTTTTTTTATCATGCCATCGGATAGTCCTTTCGATATGGTTGGGTTGGGAAATAGGTTTGGTTGGTACAGGGGCGACGTCTAAAAAGTATGTAACTAGGGTATTTCGAGGACGGAGAATCGATTTTTGTGGTCGAGGGGGTCCCCATCCCCCCGCAAGACCCCCTTTACTGATGAATTTTTTTCGTTTTTTTGGCCATAACTTCCTTATATTCCTGGATACCGGCTTTTTTTATGTTTTCTTTCTTACTAGTTTTTTACGCCCTTCAATTATATCCAAAAAAAATTTTTGGGCATTTCGCCAGGGGGGGGGTCATTTTTTTTTTTCTGGATACCGGGTTTTTTTATCATGCCATCGGATAGTCCTTTCGAAAAGGATCAAAAAGTTTCATATGGACTTACCCTCTCCAATTCGCCATGCACCCTGTATATAAAATTTTATGAGGGGGTTGGGTTGCGATTTTTTTCTAAGTTTTTGTTTTTTCTTTGAAATTTTCAAAATTTTTTTTTGCTTTTTTGGACGTTTCAGGACATTTTAAGAGGGGTTGGGTTGCGATTTTTTTTTTTTTTTTTGAATTTTTTCAAGTTTTTTTTTAGAAGTTTTTTTACGTTTTTATCATTTATCTTAAACGTTATTTATTTATATTTTATCTTTTTTGGAATTTTTTCAAGTTTTTTGTACAATTTTTGCATTTTTTAAAAAAAATTTTAATTTTTTTTGGAATTTTTTTACAACTTTTTGCATTGCTGTTATACGAGTATAGTTTGTACTCGTACTGTTTTTTTTTCTTTTATGTAATGTTTTTTTATAGCAAAATTGCCAAATAAAGATTTATTATTATTATTATTATATTATTAATTTTTGCATTTTCGTGCATTTTTTGACATTTTGTTGATTTTTGCTTATTTTGGCGATTTTTGCTATTTTTTTTTATTTTTGTTCATTTCGGGGATTTTTGAACTTAAAAATTTTTTGAAATTTTTTTTTTTTTTTTTGCATTTTTGGAAAGTTTAGGACATTTCCTGCAAGGGTTTTGGGGTTTTTTTTTTTTTTGGATTTTTTTTGTCCCTTTAAAATTTTATGTTGCATTTTGTTGATTTTTCGTTTTTTGGCCATAACTTCCTTATAATCCAGGATGCCCCCCTTTTTTTATGTGTTCAATCTTCCTATTTTTTAACGCCCTTCAATTATTTAAAAAAAAAAAAATTTTACATTTCGCCCCCCGGGGGGTCATTTTTTTTTTCCTGGATACCGGGTTTTTTTATCATGCCATCGGATAGTCCTTTCGATATGGTTGGGAAATAGGTTGGGTTGGGTTGGGTTGGGTTACGCACTCTGATATGT